ATACTATGTGTCAATACAAAAAAAATGTGCAGAAAAAACGTAGCAAATGTGACAAAACAAAAAGCTATATATAAAATTAAAAAAAAAAAGAAAAAGAAAAAAATAATGATAGGCTTAAAAATATAACTAAATCTTAAACAGAAGCGTGCTTATACCTAAAAAATATGTTTATAATCACAATTTTCATAAAGATTTCATAATTAATATTACAACAAAACAAATAATCTTTCCTATATTCATGATAAAATAATATTTAATATTTATTTTTAAATCAAGTTGTTATTAAATTATTTACATATACATAAAAAATTAATTCATTTGCAATAAGAAATAATATTTATTAAGAACAATATTATACAACAAGAATAAATTAAAATGATAATTTTATAGACCAATTATCAGTCAAATAATTTTTTTTCTATTATTAAATTGTACAAAAAATATGATTGTTATTTTATAAACCATAATATTCACATATTAGAAATATAATAATTTATAATTTCTAAAAAGATAATTATTAATCCTTAAAAAAATGAATTGTCAAACTCTGCAAAGTTGAGATATATACATTTTATAAATACATAAAAAATAAATATAAAATACTAAATATATAATATTAATTGCATATAATTATATGTATATAATTCAATATTATAGATAAAATATATTTAAAAATAAAAATATATTTAAATTAAATTTAAAATATGCTCCATATATATTTACTCATTTAAATAATATCAATCAAGTAACTTATATTAACATAATTATATCGAATAATTATGTTAACATAATTGTGAAGTTTATAGTATATTTTATATGATAATCAGATTCAAATGAAGCAATTATCAAATATTTTACTCACCTGTACATTATTTAATTCATCTTCATATCTTCTAAGACGAGAAACTTCACTTTTTAAACTGTCAATTTCTGCAATGGCTGCTTTTAAATGATGTGTTTTTTCTTCTACTTCTTGTTCTTTTGCCAATAACTGAATTGAAGAAGAAACAAAGTAAAATAAATAAATTATATATAAAACATAAATAATACTTTTGAAACATATAAAAAAACATACTAAGTGTTTTATTTTTGCCATTTCTTGAGTTTGAAAACCTTCTAGTTGTTCTGCATCTTCTTGAAAAGTATATAATTTTTTCTTATATTCTGAAATATAATATCATTAATGAAAATCTAAATTATTTAATTTAATATCATATTATAATTACAAAATATACCTTCTGCATCTTTAAGAGCTAATTCCAACGAATGTTTTGTACTCTGAATATCTCTTAATTCTTCTTCTAATTTATTCTTATCTTTCTCCTGTTTTTCAACTACTTTTTTCCATTCTTTTTCTTTTTCAAAAAGTCTTACTTTCCATTCCTCTTCTTTTTTTTCCATTCGTTTCATCAATTCTGTCTCTTTTTTTGCCAATCTTTTTCGCCATTCATCTTCTCTGTTTTCAAGTCTTTTAATATCTTTAGCAGAAAGTTGCATATTATCATTTAATTTAAAATCAAAGCTATCTTTTTTTAATGAGACAGGTGGAGAAGGTGAGGCTGTATTTTCTTCACGTGAACCATCTAATGAAATTTGAGATCCACTAATACTACTTGTGGATCCCGTCTATAAAAAAAATATTATTGTTTTAAAAAGTTAATTGGCAAAGCAATGTTTTATATTGTTATATATATTTAAGAAATTATAAATATATATTTAAGAATTTTTTATAATTTCAATTTATTTAAATTCAAATTAAAACAAATTTAATAAATGATTGAATTAGTTAGTGAAATTAGTAATATTTTAATCAATTTATATAAGTTTTGTAATTATGCAAAATCAAGCAATATACATATGTATATTATTGAATATTAATGAATCATCTGGTAAATATATATATGTAGAATTAATAAGAAACATCTAGCATAAAATATGTAGATGGATATTATCAATATTTTCTTAAAAATTAATGATTCGATGTAACTATGAATACTTATAAACTGTTTATAAATAAATATTATCCATTTATAATTGCAATATCGTACCTACATAAATAATAATTACACATAGAAATATGTTTACCTGAGACATATGCCTCGAGTTAATAGCACGCACATTGCCGGCATTTCTAACGACAGTTGACACGTCACTCCCTATTTCTTCTCGTATTTTATTTTTTAGCGTTGCAAACATGATGTGATAACCTTCAAAAAGACGAGCAAAAAATGACAATTACCACCTGTCAATGACAATATTGTGCTAATTCTGTGCTCGTCTATCGGAGAAATATTAAAGAAAAGGGAGTAAAAATGTATTGTATCGAAAATTCATTCTTTACTGATGCGTTTTTAATACGATTAGATTTAATTTAGTCATGTTTAAATATTTGGTATACACACGATGACAAAAATTTTGTACATATTTAAATATCGTATTAAGGTCAGACGTCTGCCATACTCCTCACTACCGTTCAGTCACTTAAATAATCACTGGTTTTGAAGTTTGGTATATATATATACCATATATATAAGTAATGTTTTTAGGAAAGTTCCCTATTTTTAGAAAATTAACACAATGTATATAGCGCGAAATGCAAATGATTAAATTGCAATACACCACGAGAAATCGAGATTGATAACAATTCATAATATATTATTTTACGATATTAAAAAAATTATTTTACACGTATACCATTTAATTAGAAAAGAATAAAAACTATACACTATATTAATACAATACTTTTTATCTCCTTATACGCAAAAATAATTATATAATATCGTCACTGTTTTATTAAATGGCGTTTTATCATGACTCACTCTTATTATACTTTCTAACCAATAAAATGATCAATATACTAGGAATATTTTATTTTTATGTTAAACATGTATATATAATGTTGGTAGAACTGATATAGGAAATAATATGCAGTGTGCATTTAGCGCGTGCAGTGGAAGCATTTAGAATTAATGTTTTCAAATTTGACGGTTTAAAAGTGCATGTGAGTTCCCATTTTTCATACGTATTTTGGTAATGTTTGTTGTGAAATTAAATAAAAAATGGGAGACTTCATGGACGAAACGGCTGCTACAACAAATTATTTTGATATGTAAGTAAATTTATATATTATGTATTTGTTTAATATTATTTCTTAAAGTAGGAGATCCTTGTTTTCATGTGTGTTTACTATATATTCTGTGTATACTATATATACTATATAATATATATATTCTTTAAATATAACAATTTCAAAAGAAAATTATGTGAAATTATCTGAAATAATAATTTATATCTCTTTTTATATTTATATATTTTTTATAATATATATTATATCACATTATATACACATATTATATCACACATTATATCATTATATATTTATATATATTTGATATAGTTAATATAATAGAAAAATTTATTATAACATTTTACAATTTAAAATTCTTTTAAAGAAAAAATTAAAAAAATATTTAATATTATTTCTTTCAATAATTTTAATACGATATAAATATAGTAGGAAACAATTTTATCGACAGTTTTCATGAAGTATCACGTCAATGAACAAATTCCTTTATAATCATAATAAATTATTTTTGATCGTCACAGATTCGTAAAATTATATTTTTTTCTGAAAAATTTGTATTGTTTTCGATAATATGCTAATTTATTCAAGAAATCATATGCAGCTGAATAACGTTTTAAGACCAAATTTTTTTAAGGTTAGAAATGATTGTAATAATATTATATAGTTTAATTGTTGTTATATTATTTTCTTAATCTTCTTAATTATATAGGCTATTAAAAAATGACTTTAATTTTATAAAGAAGTAATCATATATTAGTATTGTAACATATGATAAATATAGTAATTAGTAATTACAGTACTTAATCATAATTCATTAGATTTATTGTAAATAATTATTATGAATTCATAGAATGATAAAGTTACGTTTATTTTTTTCTTTTTTATATATATCTGTTAAAAATGTGATTTTATAAAATTATATTTTGCATGACTCATGCTATATATTATATTATATATTGTTGTTGTAAAATAGAGATAGAAATATTTAAGTTGTATTAAAATAATTCATATAACTTTTTATTATATATATATATATAATATTTATTCTCAATTTATTTAAACAATGATTATCATTGAATAGGGTTAAAGATCACTTTTTGCTTTAATGGTTCTCAAATATAAGTTGAATTATTAAAATTGAGGAATATAATTTATGACGTATATTATAAAAAATTACAAAAACTTTGAATTGTTAAATATGATTATCAATTTATTAATATATTTATAATAATTTTTATTAATTTGAATATCAACATTGATTTGTCGAAAAGTTTGAAATAGTTTATTATTTGTCATTTTATTTCAAATAAAATATATCTGATTCAGAAAAAAAAGTACATTTTAACAAATCGTTCTTAAGTAAAATCGGATCTTATCAGAAAAGAAAAATCACAAGTGATAATGAACAATATTTAGTGTACAATTTATAGTTACTTTATGCATTGAGAATTTATGAAATTTTTTTTAATTCTGAAATTAATTTGAAAGTTTGATTCGTTTTTTTAAAGTAAATTAAAATGTGCGTCATAATTTTTTGTCATTATGTATATTCGTGACATATTATTAATTAATAAAAACGTGATACTTAAATAATATCTTAAGTTTCATTATATTATTAATTTTTTTTATTTTTTGGTTTTTCTTGCTATCCATGAAAAGTGAATCACAATCATTGTCTATTACATATTTCTTACCATGGCTTTATCTCTTGTTCGATCCTCAATTGAGAGACACTGCGTTTGACCGATGTACGCCGTGCTTTCGCGTCTTTACAACCCTGCTTTTCTATCTGTTTTTGTCGTTCGGTCCTCCCTCCGTTCTCCGTCTGCTCTTTATCTCCACTCCACCATCTCCCTCCACCGCCCCCGTTCGTCCATTCGGTTGGGGTCCATGCGTCGTCGGCCTGCGTTGCTCTTCGACCAGCCATACGAATCTTCCGACCTTAAACCCTCCGCTCGTGCCGCCCCTTGATCAGAACGTGAGCCGTGTCGCCGCCTGCCTGCTTTCAGTTGCGTTCATTCTATCGTTAGAGTAGGATCGTTGTCGTGGTGTCACGTGCAATAACCATCGGTATCTTCTTCGTTTCATTCGTCGAAAGTACACGCGCTATCGTTATCGATATGATGGCAACGTCTGAGCGGATGAATGGTTGAAAGTTTTATTATAAAGATCATCATACGATCGGGAAAATTAATTCTTTTCAGTCAAAAAATTCGTCTAACCGATTGGGAGTGTTTTGTTCACGATGGAGGACAATAGACGACCGGCAAGAAAATTATTGTTACTCTTTTCCAAGAGGACTGTGCTAAAGTACAAACTGCTGATTCAGTGACAAGGTGTTGCGTTTTACAAGAGGATTGCACTTTATCTTTTTTTTTTTTCTATCGATTCTTTTTCTTCGATCAACTTCGTATTGAACATTAATTTTGAACCTTATGAAAAAAGTGTTTCGTGAAGAGGAAGAATATGCATCAGGACACAGTGGTGTGAATCATCTGGCGTGTCGCGTTGAGCGAGAGTTATCTCTGCATTGATCGGTCCAGCAACATATAGGTCGATCGTGGTAACACAGTTTCAACTGTGTAAAATTTATAGAAACTTTTTGTTCATCGGGTCACGTTATACTCGAACTGTGAACGAAAAAGAAAGAAAGACTAGCTTTCGATTTATTCGAGTTTCTCAGAAGACTGACCAGGAAGGACTTTCATCGGTGTCGATCACATTTACACCGATATGCTCACTTGATTAGCCTCGAGTACATTGACATTCTGTGCCAAATAAACGTGCCAAAGCGTTTCATTGAAAGTACAAGTTATTAGTATTATCGTGAGACTATTTTTACGATTGTTATTATTGCTGTTATAGTTTTATTCGTAAGTTCGTTTTATATGCGTGTCGTTTTACATACGTGATTTTGTCTCTCTTCGCACGGGGACCGTTTTATTCGTACAGGAAGTTATATTTTTCGTATACCGATGAGGAACAATTACCGCAATATGTTTTTTGCCGGCTACGGATATTCCAATCAACATCAAAACAGCCCACCCTCGCCGACCAGATCCAGCGTCTGGGGTAGCATTTACAGCCCGTTTCGGAAGTAAGTATATTACATATGTGTCTGTTATGGGTGGGAATCGAGAGGAATTATATTCGTTCGTTCTTTTTCTGCTCTTGATTTTTTTTAATTATTTTTATATTCGCATTTGATCTTTAGCGAAGATAAAATCAAATCTAAGTATTGTTAAAGCGTTCTACCTATGATTCAATATATGTATATGTCAATTGTGAGAATTAATATCCCGATATTGCATTTTAATACGTATTAACAGATCGAGTGTTACGAGAATGCAAGTCGTATTTCACGTATCGTAATCTACTACATAAATATGATTCAACATGGAGAGATGATGGATTCAGGAGGAAGAATATTTAAGAATTTCGTATGAAACGTCGTTTATCGTCTCATTTTAATTGAAATGATTCATATATGAAATCGAGAAAAGCTTTAAATAAATATTTAAAGCTGGCGCGATTAACTTTATTCGAAGAATATTATATCAATTTTTTAGATAATGGACCTCCAGTTTGTATTTCATTTTATAATTAATAAATATAAGTAGAGATACACAGCAAAGTGCTACAAAGAATGATATTTAAAAATAAGTATAGTGGAAATTTATCAAAAGAAATTAAAGCAACAGTACAAAAGATGTCTCCCCTAGTTCCTTAAATTTAGATTGTTTGTCATGAATATTTTAGGTTTACACCTTGCTCTGTTAGTTTTTCGATGCATGCAGGGAGAGTTCGTTTGAGTTTGACAGCTTCGAATAACAGCATCAAATGTTTCATTGTAGAACAGGAATATCAAAGAGGCCGCCAAATGTATTTTCTCTCACCCTATGTGTATCGTTTCTGCGAAAATTCTTCTTCCTCTTAGGCAGATATTGTTTATTTTTACCCATTTTGATTAATAATTTAATAGAAATTTTTCTATTTTTATAACACGTGACCGATAAATTAATACACATCATAGAATATTTATTCCACTTTGTTTACCTCGACTGATTAGGGAAAATAATGCAAGGGGTTGATATCATTTTCTCAGACACAAGTACCAGAGGAATAGTTATCTTGTTCGTAAAATGAATCATAAATAAACCGTAATGATTAATAGTTTACTTAGCTTAAGTTATTTATACAACGTAATCCTCCGTTTTATCGGAATCCTCTGTTTTCTTATTATTACCACCTATTTATGCGATCACATTTATACCTTTTTTAAACGTGCTCCTTATCTTATGCACATACATTAAAATGTTGGGTTTAGCCGCATGAAAATTCACCGTCTGTTTATTTTAATTTTGCTGTTGTTTATTTTCCTATTTACAACTACTACGTTGTAACATTTTATCCAAATTAATGAGATCACGGTCAATTGTGCTTATTCCAGTTGAATATTATGATTACGCGAAAGGGTCAACGTACTTTGCCGATTACACGAGTCATCTTCGTTGGATACTTCTCTATCCAAACATTTATAGTTTTGCCTCGAAACGAAATTGTAGTGTTTTCGTTATTAAGAAATTCCTTCTAAAGTCGAGTTCTAACAGTTCAAATTTTTTGATGAAATCACAATGTTACACACAGTAGAAAATATTCTTGCTTATTGAATTATCAAGTGATCGACGATAAGAATTATTTAACATACCGTGCTAAACAGTTCCATTTTTATTCCTAACAAATCAATTGAGAAGCGTAGGAAATTTTTCCATTCGTTTCGGAAAAGTCGTGACATAGGAAGCAATATTGCGACACATCGGACCGAACTGCATCAAATCTACATACTTAGTAACGTTGATCGAGCGTCTCGTGCATTCGTTAAAGCCTTAATAAATTCTTTCGCCCACCAGACACCTACTCGACCAGGCATAAGAATACCAAGTCCCTCTATAAACAACGTTTCCATTCGACAGGGTCGAGCTAATTGTTTAACTAGGCAAGTTAATACGTTTAACGATCCGGTAATTGAGGGAACTTTGCACGTCGACACGAATATGCTCGTTCTGGTATCGTTCAACCGCGTACTGCGCTGTTCGAGAATGATTACTTTCAGTGAAAATACCGTGATGATCCGTTCATCCTTATTTTCTCGTGCTGCTTTTCTCGAAACGAAGATGTTAATGTAACGTATCCTACTTTTTTTTTCATCGTTCCATGGCATTGGATGAAATAAAGAAGAATCGTATCCTACGAATCGTAGAATGAAGGTAACCGTTTGGTGATATTCGGTGGCAATTCCACTCGAAGAAAAGAAAAGATAATAGAAAAGTGGAGAAAGACATTAGGGATTCTAGAAGGATAGGTACTGTAAGAAGACTGAAATAGAATAGTTAATACGTATATAGAGGGACAGCACGGCCAACAATAAGTTAACGGTATCCTTTAATCCTCTATATAAGCAAATCCTTCAGGCTTTTACTATTATTAATGCTTTGGAAGCAAGAGCTACTTGTTTAAAAACAAGTTATCATTGACTTTTTAAATCTTTAAATTTAGATATGGGCAATGTAAATATTTCTTGTTCCATTTTTTCCCCATGTGATTTGATTTTAAAAATCTTTTTATTTCGATTTTCTTTTTTTTTTTTTTTTTTCTTTTCCCTTTAACGATTTAAGAAGTTCCGCAAGGAAAACAAACGTTGTGAAAAGCGATTAAAGCTTTCGAATTGCATGCTCCTGTTTCGTTCGGTCCATGCCACCATATCTGCTCACCGGTATTGATTACTTACACAACCACCCCTCCATCTTGCCAGATGACGACAACTGTATACGTCATTTCGTAAAATTGTTTTCGTATTTATCTAATTTCTTTTCAAACTGACGAGAGTAATATATGTTCACAGGATAGGATTGATGGTGATGTGCAGCATCAGCAGAATAAAATTCTAAGCGATGGCGGGAAACGATGAAATTTATCGTTCGTTATTTTCTTTTTTCTTTTTCTATATATAGTTTACTATAAATAAATTCGTTCATACAAAGTGACAAGTATTATCTGTCCACGGTTATCAATGAAAACTTGTTGACTTTGCTGCTCTCAATCAATTTTAACTGTTTTATTTACATTTAATTTTTCTTTTTTTTTTTTTTTTTTTTTCATAGAAAAATTGTTGGGAATTGATTTCACAGTAAAATATTCGCGTATATATTTTTTTTGCTTCTTCCATATATTATTTATATTAAATTAGATAAAATAAATTCACACGTTTCCAATTAATTTTTATGCACGATATTCTTATAATTCTTTTTCATTTGCATGTTGCGAAATACGTTATGAATTATGTAACACGAATCTCTATTGTTACCAATTGTAGTTTTACGGACAACGCAGATGTATTATCTGATTCTAATTTCATTTCATTTTCTTTTTATAATTAGCTATAAGAATCTCTTCTCGAAAACCGTTCAAATCAAACGCGCATATAAAATTACATAAAAGTTCGCAAACGATAAAAAAGAAGAAAAAATATGAAATATAAAAATTCTCTCGACGAAAACTTGCAATATCGTAGCGCGACGGAATAATTGGCGACCATAGGCTCGTGACTCATCGTTTCTAAATCAACCCTCCTCCTCCTCCCCTCCCCCATCTGCTTTAATCATCAACGTCAACGCCAACACCAACCCCCGTCCCCCAAAAATCGGACAAACTTTCCATTTCGTCTCGAGTTTAGGACCTCCCGTTCCCAATTAATATATTCCTCCCTCCCTCTCGATTCTCCTCCCCAAAAGCAACCCCGCCTCGTAAAGTGACGGCCGATAATAATATCACCCGCGGTGTCACCCTCTTCGCCCCGTTCCGGGTCGAGCAACTTCTGAAGCGAGAGCTAAGATTCCGAGAAGTCTGGATTAGTTGTAGCGCGCGTAAAGGGGTTGTGCTTTTAATATACATCGGATGTTGGTCGGGGTGGTGGGCCACGCCGTTTCTTCTCCTCTTCACCGAGGTTTTCGCCGAGGTGAACGGGGGATTACGTACCCAAGTCTTCTAAATAGAGGTCTAAAAAAGAGAAAAGTGGTCCCCTCTTTTCAGGGGAAACGGAAAAAGATGAGAAGGTGATGGCACACGCTGGAGGTCTGGCCACGTGACGTGACGGTGTCATTTTTAACTTCGTACTCGGGTTAATTTGTTCCACCTTTTGAGATGTTGTTTTGAAACAACAGAGGAGAGCTAATATTTCTGCACAAGTGTTATTATTGGATTCGTTTCTTTGTTACTTCTTTTTCTTTTCTTTTTTTTTTTTTCGAGTTTAAATTCGATGTTCTTAAGTTTGATCGTAGGATAAATTGTTCGCTTCGATCCAAGACGGATATGGTGGAAAACGGGAGGGAGGCGAGGTCAATTCGTCCAGACTGCACGGTGCTCGCGAATATATAATAGCCGCGGCTCTTGGAACTTGTTAAAGATCCGCGACAAGAGCAGGCAAGGAAGGGGACGTTATCCGTTAATTATTCATTTCGGATTTCAACAGTGGGCCAGCGAGAAATAGCGTTTGGATGAAATCTAAATTAAACCTTTCTGGAAATTCTGCATTTCCTTATTGCTCGTGCCCGGTTTGAAGTGGCCCGCGACTATAAATCACTGACATGTCACGTAAACGGTTTCACATCAACTTAACCTCCCGAGTTCGTTAGAACGTGACGGGAATCGAGATCTGGGTCGAATTTAATTATAAACGAATCGTTTCTTAAATCCTGCCCTGGCAAACGCTTTCACGGATCTGTAATTCCTCGCTCGTTGTTCAGTTGTAATCTTTGTGCAATTAACTCGGTGTTAATTCGTGAATCGAGATTGGCCGAGATGCCTCGAATAGCCGAGAATTCAAATAGTTTGGAATTCGAGACATTCATTTCGACTGATTAATCGCGTATCTATGCGCAAACTTGGTCCTTAGGGCCGATGTTTTACTCTTAGCCATCTAGCCGCTCTGGAAATAGAAGGCAACCTTCATCTTGATCCTTTTTAAAAGTTCCATCTCTAATTCGGTCTAAGTCGTACAGTCTATTTCCTATGGAATCAGGAGCCAGCACGTGCCTCCATTTTCGGTCCTATTCCGAAAATAAACCGTCTTTAAGCCTCGGTGACGTTCTTTTCATTAACGGAAAATATAAAAAAGCCTTACATTTCCTTTAACGTGTTTTCCTCTTTTTTACACTTTTTTTTAGATATCGTACTATATTGTTCTTTGAATGTCAGAAAATGTTAAAGTTGGCAATCAATGATTGATTAATATTTCCTCTTTCTTGTTGCAGCACAAATATGCCATTGCAGGACATTACGATGAGTCAAACTCTCCCATTAATGAACGGTGAGTACCGACTTTTCATCCCATCGTACGTAGATTTATTAAATTTTTGCCCGATCGATTGAAAATTCTATAACTCGTTGGTAACGAAGAAAACTTTCTTAACGGTCGAAGAAACGTTTCGAATAATCGAGAAAAAAAAAAAAAAGAAAAAAGAAATCGTGTTCCCAAAGTGATAGATATTTTTATCCTGGCAAATGACGCGTTAAGCAATTTAACGATTAATGGTTCGTTAAAATTTTTTTCAAACCTCTATCGATGGGCTAAGGATGGACCGGATGCAATTTTACGGTGCTCGATCAAGATGGATCGTTGCATAAGTATCGATCGCGTTTATTACTTATAGTCCTGGGACGATCACGTACAGATGTCCCTATCGATTAACCGATTGCTTAAACGGGAGATATATTGGGATTGACAATGGAACGATCAGTTGTCCACCTCTTTCCCCGGTGAAACTATCTTTATTGGCTATTTCCCTTGAGCAATTCGCCCTATGTCGATTAGATAATAGCCGATGAACACCTGATTATCCGAATAGAAAATGATCACTCGTCCTAGAGCTTAATTCGCAAACGCTAAAAATTTATTTTTATATGACCGATACGTCGATGAAAATTTCAAACAAAGAATATTGTACCACGCGTATTTATTTATCGCAATTCGTTCGATTTTACGCAAAATTTATTTAAACTTTTATTCCCATATAACGTTTCGTTTTGCTTTTGTGCATGTATTTACGAGACTGATCGGAATTGACCCAATTTGCGTCATTCGTATATATAACGCCCAAGCAAAAGAAATTTAAAACGGTCTCCAACTACTCCACACCCATCATGGACCAGTTAAAAACATTCGTTTTATTCGCTCGAAACAAAAAAGAGAAATTCTCGTATCGTCTAATTTCACAATACCGACCGACAAATAACGTCGTTTCAGCGTTATCAACCCCAATTTATCGGAGAAAATACTCTACGTCTACGATACCAGATTCTTCCTTCTTATTTGTATCTATATCGGTCAAAGTTCGAGCATTATTTATTTTTCCATTCGAGCGATATTTAATTGGCGAAATTCTTTCCTATCTAAAAAAAAAACAATCATCGATCGAAATTCCTTTCCCATCCGAGAAAGATCCACGGACATTCGTTGCGATAACAAAATAATCCCCGGGACCACTTGATACAATAAAGGCCGCGAGAATTCGCGCAGCGTGGCGTCACACCAAGTTGCATCTATGAAAACGGGGCAACGAACCTTGTTCCACAGCTATTTCACGCGGACACTGTGATCTACGCCGACGTGTGATCTCTCTCGTCCACGATACAGGGATCTTCCAATCACCTTCGAGATCTCTTCAAATTCTTTCCAACACAACGTGAGTTTGCCGCCTCCAATTCATCCTGAGAGGGGTCAGGAAACGATCGAAACACGTCGGTCGATTCATCCGATTTCTTCTCACGCCTTGAAAGAAAGGCAGGGCTGGCCAGCGAGGTTTCTGGCGGAGGGAATCCGTGGCCATTGGCCAAAAGTTTAGCTGCTATATCGGCTCGGCCGCCAGCTTTGCGGCAACGCATAAATTTGGCCGTTGGTAAACGAATCTGTGCCAGGAGCTGGCCGACGCTTCCATCCGCGAGAGGTTTCCGCGATCCATCTGGGATAAAAGATCGCGCGTTGATATAACGCCGATGCCTCGTCGTTTGCAACAGCTGCGGTCAGCCTGCGCTCAATTCCGCCTTCCTATCCCCCCCGATCGTGGCGCATACGGCCGATCCCAGATGGTGCGATTGCGGAAGAATAATTGAAACGATTGTGGCTCTCGGATTAATTAAATTTTACTGGATCTACACGCGCCTCGAGGGACATCTCGGTTAAAGGGACATTGTGCGGAGACAAATTCCACGAATATTCGAGTCTTTCAGAATGGTGGAATTGTGCGTGGTTATCTGCGAGTCCAGGTTATGAATCGACGCCCAGATGTTTCGAGATAACAACGAGCTGATTGTCATCGTCGTTTTACATTTTTCGATCGTTTGGTCATTTTCTTTTCGAAATATTCTTTGGAAATAATAAAGGGTCTCGAGAGATTCCTCGAGACGAGAGATTTACACGTTTTTCGGGATTGTAATTTGTTGCTATTACGGTACTCTCTGGAACGAAGGAAGAGTATTACCCTGCGGTTTTTTACGCGAATTTCCACCCGTTTATATATAGCATGTGAACTTTATTGCATCGTTATAGCGGAATGCGAGACTTCTTTGTAAGTTTTCGAGACGGGCAATTTGCATGTCATCTCCCTTTGAAACACGGGGATGCTAACTGTATAACTTCCATCTGAATCGCTCGAAGAATCGTAGGAAAAAGAATAATTCTGCGAGGAAAATCCGCGATGCGCCCTAGAAAAATGTTTTTTTCGCGTAATCTCAAATTTCAGGAAGCCATGATCCCATTTATTTCTGTAGGTTCCGCGGTCTGAAGAAGGGAGAGGAAGAGAGAGAGAGAGAGAGCAGGGAGAAAACATGTCGCGACACTGTATTTATTTCTGTAACACGTTGCCCCGTGATTTTGCACCGCGATATCCGCCACCTTTGCGAACAATTTCAACCGTGTGATCTCGTTTCAACATAGGATAAGGATATACACGATGCACACCGGGGTGCATTGTCCAAGCGAGTCGACTGTTTGTTTCTCCAGCTGCTCCAACTCTCCTATCGTTCAAACTTTCTCTCCATCTCGCTCTCGGGAATGCGAAATTTGTATTGAATACCGAACGTTGCTGCGTTGTTAGCCAAACTTTCGATTATTCTGCTTTTATGCCAAACGAACTACGCGCTATCCGTTCTAAATTTTCTAAATTGTGATATTGAAGATGTTGTTCGATTCGAAGTCGATTTGCTCGAGACATTTAAGCGCCATATATATATATATACAATTTGGCGAATGGTTAAATGTTTGGTCAAGCTTAATTAGCCCATTTCTAAATTACTATCGTCCGTGTCATTTTCATTTATACTTTGACATGATTGGGATCGAGCCAGACGCCTACGAGTCTACGAAAATCTAGTATCTTTATAAATTGAACGATAGTTTGAGTGCCAATGTTATTTTTACCTATTATCTACGCGTAATCGTGTTAAAAAAATTAAAAAAAAAAATTATTTTTCCAAAAATCGAATTTTTTTAAAAACTTATCCTCGAGCGAACAGAGATTTTTATTGGCCTGAAGTTTCACTTCTACTACGGTTTCCAGCAAATTAATTGACGTGCAGTTTTGTTCGCCATTGTCAATCCTAGGTTTAGGCAAATTTGTTCAATCAAAATCGAATGTGATATTAACGTCTCCAATATTTATGTCAAACCGCGAAGAAATATGCGAGCAAGAAGAATGCTTGGCTACGCGCGTGTAGATTTGACGTCGTTGAATCGGTAATTTGTAGCTTTATTCCTACTTTTATTGTCCCCGACACTCGCGATACGCGTTCTAAGTTTAGAAGCATGCTAGAGCATGCAACCCGAATGCGCGGTGCAAAGGACACGGAACAAAGTATGATGAATAGATGATCGATAATTCTGCCAATCTTCCATCGTTTTTTCTTCGAGCAAAACGAATTCTCTCGACAAATTTCGAAAAAAATCGAGAAAGGTATCATCTTCCAACATCCCGTGTTAAATCCGTATTAAAATTATCAATTGAAACATTTCCAATTATTTTCTATCGATCGGAATCGATAATTAAAAATTTCGACTATCTGCTCTCAAAGGAAATTGCTCTCAAAAATGTTCTCCAACGAAACCCCAATCCCCTTCTTTATTTTCCCGCTCGATTCGATCGAGTCGATAATTAGACGGATATAATATCGATCAGTTTTCCCTTCGTTCGAGGCGAGCGTTAGCAAAGGTAATACACGGTGTCGCAATACCGGCGGTTAGTTCGAGCGACCGAAAATAGCCGCTTCTGCCCGAATCCGTTTCTGAATCTCCTCCGCGGCCTAAACGATTAATAGGATCGATGGTGAAACCGATGTGAAATTACAATTGCACCAGCTTATGCCCGAGACGATCTCTCGTGACTTTAATTACTACACCAGGTCGTCGGACAGGCACACACCGTGGGCCTGGAGAGTGGCCTGCCAAAATAAAGATAGTTGCTTCTCTCTGGCCTAAATGTGTCATCTATAAATACTCGAGCTCTCCGTGTCTGCTCGACGGTGGCGAGACTCACAAAGTCGATATCGCACTTGCACCGATACCTAAATCGCAGAAATTCGTTGACCGGAAGTATCGTTGAGGTTAACACGTTGACTCTACGGGTAATTTAGCCGTCCGACTTTACCGACAGTTTCTCTAACGGACCGCGAGCATCCGGGTGTGTCGATTCTTCGAGAAAATAGAACGTGATCGGGAAAGAGTTTGATCGTAAGACCTTTTTCTCCGAGCGAGAAAGACTCGGTTCTATTATTAAAATGCATAAAACGAAGCTCGATACCTCTTGCTCCTTTGTACCCTGCTCTTCTTCGTAACACGTGTGTGTGTGTGTGTGTAGTAAATAGACGATAATTTATATACATATCCACTTGCCGGGGATGGAACACGTGGCGCACGGTTGACACTGCACAGGAACTGCATTAAGGAGTAGAACTCGAGTGGAAACAGGACTCGGTTGAAATTTGAAACGTGCTTGTAACCGTAAGAGGGAAACGCATATTAGGATATGACAGTTTCCTGTGATCAATCTAGCGTATTGGACGTGGAATAAGATTTGCTTCCCGTTTGAAAATCTACTTGTATTACACGTTTCGCTTTTGCGCGGGTGTAATGATATCTAGGTGATTCCGTTTCGAAATCCGTGCGTAAAACGTATGCGGAATAAAGATTCGATCTAAAAATTGAAAGTTTTTATTTACATGTTTATTTTATTGATCGCTCAGTTATTGATCGAGTAGGATCGCGATACAACGAACATTGTCAACTCTGACGGGGTTTCGCAACTCTGTCTGAGAAATTTAAAAATAGTTTGGTGTTTCGACATCTTAAATAAATAATCGATTTAGAAAGAAGATTTGCTATTTATTCCTCTTAAAAATATACGAATATATACTGTGGAAAATCATTGATTAAAAACAAATAATAATTTCAACAATGATAAATTCTCTAATCTTGGATAAAATACTGCTACTTTTCATTAATGTTTCAGAATAACCGTCTCTGCTACACGATTTGATATAATTTACAATCGTAGTCGTCAAATTTATTTTTAAGAAATCTTCAAAATAGTATCAGTAATAAATATTTATGAATTTAGAAATTTTTATTTTTCCTTCACATCCGATAACCGAAATGAGATATTATAAATTAGGTTTTCTCTTCCTGTACTTGAAGGGTAACAAAAGAAAGTACAATCTGTAATGAATTTTACGAGCTAAACACTTTTACCTGAAAAAAATGTTCACTCGCAGGTATTCATCGGAACAACATAACAATAAAACAAAGATTTGCAAAAGGTCCGAGTAAAATCCAGGTCCCCGAAGAAATAATCTTGGGGAAGAATGTCTAAACTGGTCGAAAAGAGATTGACAATTTTTCCAAAGCCTCCGTGTTCCATTGTTTCGTGCAGCTGCGCTTCGAAGAATCCTTGAAACGTTTGACTATACGAAGCACGATATATGCTCTGAATATAATTTTAACTGTACGTTATTGCGATGTAAACTTTGGCGCTGCTCTGCCATTCTATCTCAGTTTGCGTTTGCACGGTCGTCACGGGAAGACGTGAAATATCTCGATCCGACAATCCAAGTGCTCTTCCCTTCACTTTTTATTCGTGTTTCGATCGGTGCTGGAATAGGCCTTAAAATGTAACTCTTCGCGGAAGATTTCACGTGGCATGGGATGTGGTAGGTCGCTCCCTGACACTTCGAACACCGTCATCCAGGACAGACCTATACAAGTTCACGTCATGTTCGGTACGAAAATAATGATATTAATAACAGTTTGTAACAACTCTTATACGTATGTTATTTTAATCGTATTTGTCGAGACGTGAAAAGTGTGTGCGACGAGAGATCGAATCGATTAAAATTTTTATTAAATTGTGTCATTCGATATACCATGTAGTTCGGTCAAGGATAAATCGAACCTTTTTGCCAATGTGCCGATCTATCGATGAACGATCGTAATAGAGGAAAGAAAAAATTTATATCGAATTACGTAACACGAGTTGCTCCGTCGATAACGCGATTGCTTTATCTTTAAAATTGTCTGCCCGCGCACGAATAAGAATATTCTTACGTTTCGAGAAATTAAAGGAAAAGGAAAATAATCGTTGAAATTATTTAATCGACGTATTTTCAATACGTATCTCTCTCTCGACCTTGAATCTCTTTGTGTCCCACCGAAGAAAGAATAAAACCAATCAACTACATATTTATATACCTTGCTGAATGCATCCAATGGCGGTCCCTGTTCGCGATGATTTACACCGCACAAAGAAAGGTCGTGTCGCAAACTGCCGAGCTTAATAGACCGTATTAAAGCACAAATGGCAGCACGTATTCCGTTTCTTTGCCCTCTGGTTGCTTCGTTACCACACAACATATCATCGAGATACCTTATTTTCATTCGTCTTTCCTTTATGCTTCAATGATTTTTATTCCACGACCCGTTCTTTCAAAGTACACGCGTCGTCATTGAGATGCCCTCGAATCCGCTCCAATGCAATTTCACCGGGGTTCGTGGATATTTTCAACGGAGAATTATCGAAATTCGATATCGTTCGCGACTGTATCGGTGTATCGAATGCGATTTAAAATGCTTGCTTCGTCCGAACTCGAGCCACCTTTTTTTCACGGCGACCTTCATTCTCCCCCCTTCCTCCCCCCGAACTGTTAATTAGAATTCAATCATACCTTCTCGCGAGATCGAGAAAGCTGCGAAACTTTCGATTCGATAAAGATCGAATGCTAAAGAGATGCTAAAAGATAGCGTGATTCCAAGAATTTATCAATTCTTCGACCATCCAATTTATCTCTGACCGAATGTGATTTCCTCTTTTTGAACGTGACAAACGTTCAGTTTCGCGCCAATTATTCCAATATGCGTCTCCGTTGAAGTCGCATTTCACGGCCGATTCGAGAAGGGGAGGGTGTCGAAAACGGACACGATCGAAGGGAGGACTAGCTAACGAACTTGGGGACGAAAGGAAGAGAAAGGATGTAAAAATGTGCGCGAAACGAGGAAGAGGCGAGGAGGCTGAAAGGTTTAACGGCGCTTGGTGACGCGCCAAAAAGATTTAAAAGGGTGGAAGACGGCGGCGCCCGTTTAGCATCGCGAAATTGGCACGTAGGCTCGGCCACGAATTCGAGAATAGGATCGATTCAACGTTCAATCATTGCAACAAGCGCATCTGGAGAAAAACGTATCCCCCTTGATCGATCTTCAACCTGTGAACTTCGCCGGATTAGTCACCGGATCCTTCCCTTAAAAGGGATCTAATCGCTTATCTTTCGCTTTCGCGTTCGTTTCGAGAAGTCGTCGTGTTTGCATTACGAGCGATTTTCACCGTAAACGGGACTCGTCCCTTTGCTCCGTCCACCGATTCGAACGCGCTGTCCAAGTATATTTCAAGTTGGGGCTACTTGCGCAGTACTTCAGACCGAGTTATTTCGAATAAGAGACAAAAAGCAAAAGTCCGTTCGTTCCATTCATTGTTGCGAACAATTCTTTTTTTCTTAATTAGATTAAACATCGTCGTCCAAAATGAAGGGAAAATATATTTCAGGCTGGAGCTACTCGCGGATCCAAACCGAGTTATTTCGAATGAGAGATAAAAAGATACGAAGCAAAAGTCTGTTCGTTCCATTCATTGTTGCGAATAATTTATTTTTTCTCAATTAAACGAAATGTCGTTGTCCAAAATGAAGGGAAAATATATTTCAAGCTGGAGTTACTTGCGGATCCAGAGTTATTTCGGATAAGAAATAGAAAGATACGAAGCAAAACTCTGTTCGTTCATTTGTTATTGCGAATAATTTTTTTTTTTCTTAATTAAATTAAACGTCATCGTCCAAAATGAAGGGAAAACATATTCGAAGTTGGACTACCAGAGTTATTTCGAACAAGCAATAGAAAGCAAAAAAAAATGTGCTTCGGTTCATTTGTTATTGGGAATAATTATTTTTTTCCCTTGACTGAATGAAATATCGTTGGGGAAGGGAAAATATCGATATCGAAAATCGACACGATATTCGAGTAAAATTGAACATTATAACGATATCTTTTCGATCGATCGTTAAATTCGATCGTAAAGGTAACCTCGATAAAATGATAAATGAGAATTTGCAGCTTCTTGTCATCGATAGCTCGTCTTTTATCCTGTCCACATTCGATTCGAACAGCTTCAATTCCATTAGTCAAGGGACGGGTTAGGGGCAGGAACTGTCATCTGTAAACGCGATCGCGCAAAATTTGGGTACTAAATGACCAACACGTAAATGTTAAAGATAACGTTGCCTGCACCGGATCGATGTAATCGTGTTTCTTGTCTCTGTATTCGGATCGGTGATTCGTCGACGGACTATTAACGAGGGCAACGAGGGTAGAAAAAAAAAAAAAAAAAAAAAACTCTTACGAAATTCGTGGTAAATTTTCATCGAGAAGAAATGACTTAGAAAAGAGATGCACTCGTGTTGACGCGGCCCCACGTACGGTGTATTCGTATCTGCTCTATTAATTATGGAAAGTAAGAAGTTGTGTTATTTACTAATGTTGTCGTATCGTTGTTGAACGTGTCGGGGAGGGGGGGAAAGGGAAATTGGACAAATTAAAATATGCTTCTCGTCGATGTTCTGTTTTAGGTGGAAACGTGAGATCACCCGGGAAAACCTCCCCAGCGGGGATGATTGGAAGCAGAGAGGGGACAGGAATTGGTCGAACGATGAAGGAATACGAGGATCAATTGGAGGCCCTTAAAAAGGAGAATTTCAACCTTAAATTGCGGATCTATTTTCTCGAGGAGCGGATGGGGATTACGTCGGCTGATGAAAATGCGATAAAGAAAAATATTGAATTGAAGGTTTCTCATAGAATTTACAATTCTTCTCTCTATTCTTTACATATACTTTTGCCCTCCATAGAGGAAGAAAAATTTGCTCTCCTAATTAAACGTCGTTTTTGTCAAGCGCCAATGATCTGTTTTGTTGCGTTATCAGGTCGAAATTGAATCGTTGAGGAAAGAGTTGGTCGAGAAACAGGAACTTCTCAGCCAAGCGGCAAAAGCGTTCGAATTAATCGAGGAACAGAAAGAAGTTTCCTCGCGGAACCAAGCTCAGTATCAACAATCGCTTGAGAACGAACGGGAAAAAATCAGAAAGCTCGAAAAGGGTATGCCATATCATATATATCTTCTAGAAAACGTTATCGCGCTTCTAAATTTCTAAATGGAATGACAATTTTTTTTTTCTTTTTCCCTTGTTCTTTGTTGCGACAGAATTGGCCGAATACCAAGAAAAAATGGTCGATGCGTCTATCTATTACAAGGAAGCTTTCGGAATTACGCCGGAAAAGGCGTTGGAAAACGAGGAGAAATTGCATCAAATGGAGGAGCTCGTTGCATCTCTAGAAGCTGAGGTAAAACGACCATAAAAAAAAAAAAAAAAAAATCGTATCTTTCTGGAGAATATATCCTCGAAAAAAGTCGAATTCTTCTCGATCCAAGATTTTATAATTAATAGAAAGTTAATAAACGCATAAATTTTCGATCGTCCTATTTACAATATAATTTTCTCTTTTATCTACGCTATTTCAACGCTATCTTCATTACACTTCCTTCACCGCGAAAGAATTATTTGATAAGCGAGTTATCGTCGTTGTTTGAAAAAGAGGAGAAAAAAGAAAAAAGAAAGGAAAAAAATTAATCAGTATGTTTTCGTTCGTTCGCAAATACGCATCTTCTCCGACTCGATTGTCCGTTCCGAATACCAACCAACGGCGGAATATTATGGAATATTAATTGGCGTATGAACGTAGGTGAAACAGGTGACGGCCAGTTTGGAAGAGGAACGCGTGTGGGCGCAAGAACTCGAGAGCGAGCGGGATGAATTCAGACAACGTTTAGAGGCTGAGACGCGTTTGAAAGAGAATTTGGACGCGGAGAGGCTGGAAGACATTGGGGCGCTACGGGCGAGAGTAAAAGAACTGGAGGAACATCTGTTGAAAAGGGACACTGTCGTGCAGCAGTGCAAAAACGAGCTGCTCGAGAAAGAAAGAGTCATTAAGGAAAAAAATTTACAGCTGGAAGAGAGGTGTCGGCTGTACGAAGAGTTGAACGCCGTTTCGGAGAAAAGGAAGAAGCAAGTCGATCAGTTAAGGGTTTCTATAAAAACCAGGGACGATGCCCTCACCGACTTGAACAACAAACATCGCGCCCTCCTCTCTCAAGTAACGTATCATCAAATTACATCTATCTATCTATTACGATATTTGTAATAATTTTATCCATCTATTTTTTATTTTTAACGATAAAAAAAATAATATCTTTTATGATATTACGATTGTAGTTCGAGAACGGATATGCGAAAAGATTATCACCCCCTAATAGTCCGTCGACCGTGAATCCAAACGAAGATCCGTTGCAAATGAGAATGGGACAAAAGGTAACTATCCAAGGAATGACGAAGAGAGTAAACACTTGTCTCGATTGGGAACCAAATCGAGAAAGGTCAACGAGAATGAAGTCGCCGGTGCACGGTTTAAGTGGAGAGATCAAAGACGTGAGAGATTTAATCAAGGTTCGCAGAAACTTTTTTCTTGCCTGTTCTTGAGCGCACAATTTATACGTACTCTCGATCCTAAAACCTCTGATCCACGTAACTTATTCGAACGAAACGTATCTCTCTGATTCAGGAAATAGAAGATAAGGAGAGTGAATTGAAACGTCAAGAGGAAACGAGAAAGCAGTTGGTATTGAAATTATGCAATATGCAGAAGCACGTTGAAACGACCGATTACAAATTGAAAAAACTAGAGGGTGAACACGAGAAAGCGATCAAGACTATTCAAGGTTTTATGGAGAGACAGCAACAATTGGAAAACACGAAGTTAAGGAAGGAGCAGAAAATCATGGAGTTGGAAATCGAATTGAACAGGCTGCGAGAGTGCGAGAGCTTGAAGGCCTCGAGGGATGGCCACAATCAATTCGTTCGAAGAGACTTCAGCACCGACATGACAGATGATCCAGAGCGTGATCCCAACACTCAGGTCGACATCATGATTTTTCGACTCTGCATGCTTGTCTCTACGTTTCTGAAGAATCATACGGTGTTCAAAATTTGTTCCTTAGGCTTGAAGCTCAGTTTCGAAATTGTCTCGAAATTTTTCATTTCCCTCGTGGGCATTTAATTTAATCGAATTCAATTTTTGGTGAATGGTCGAGGAATGCTGTATGAACCGTTTCGCAAATGTAGAGACAACGATTTGGATTGCAAAACACATTCCGCTTCTAACGAGGAACACGGAATAGTGAAAAACGGAATGGCTTAGAATTATCGATCGTTTCTCTTTCTTTCAGAGATACTGAATTCACCTAACATCTACTTCTCCTTTTCTGCTTTATCGCCATCATCACTCTCACTGCATGACACTTATCGCTTTGGGGCACTGTTCATTCACTTTTCGATATCCTTACCGATGCGACCACAAGTAGCTCTTCTGCGCTAATCAACATGTACGCATACAAGATTTGAACATACATGATCAACGATTATTCGATTCGAGTTGTAGTTAATTTTTTTTAAAAAAAACCTTTTTTTAAATTTTTTTTTTTTTTAAAACCTTATCAAACACGAGTTTCGACGTTTAATTCCTTCATTGACGATGTTTCTTTTCTCTCTCTCTCTCTTTCTCTCTCTTTCTCTTTTTTATACTTGTGTTGTTCTACTTAATTTATATTTTATTTTATTTATTTTATTTCGTATTTAATACAAGTTACAGAATTTTTTTCTTTACTTTTTTTGTAACTTTATTTAGGAAGTAATTGAGTTTTCTTTTTTGTGCATATATTTTTTTTTGCACGAAGTTGTAGTGTTAACGCATGGCATGTACGAAAGTAAACGATGCCTTTAATTTGTGCATATTGTTGCATCGAGACACGATTCTATTTTACACGATTATGCAATTTCGAAAAAACGGTTTTTTTAATTTTTTTAATCGCGTAGTTTGAATAAATTTTCGTCGAAACAATTTTTTTTAATTTATAATCGCTCTGGCAACTTATTCCACGGTATTACGTTACATTATTTTATCTCTATTTACGCAACAACACGCTTCTTAAACTTTAATTAGCTAATTGCAACATACGTCACCTACGTTTCTCATATGTGAACAACGAGGAGTATCGAAGACATTTGAAAATTTAAAAATTAACTTGTCAAAAATAAATTCAATACTCGTTTTACGTTTTTATGAATAATTTGTCTAATCGCCTAATTTTAATCGAATTTAAACAGTGTACATTGACAAAAATGAGTATAAAGTTTATATTGGAAATATCGTTTACGAATTATTTTCAACTCGCAAAGATTTCAACAGTTTCGAAAGAATCGGTATTTTCTCGGTTTTCGAATCTCTCAATCTCCAATATCTATCTACATAGTTTAATTATGTGGCCCAAGAGTTCAAGAGGGTTTCCAAAATCCAAATTTACTTCCAACATCATTCCTCTCTTGTCGTGGATGAACGATTAGATATTTATAACTATCACAAACAATTCTTTATCGGGAGAGAAGACAACGATATATTTATTTCGAAGCGGACAGACATCATCGAACACTCCATACATCGACTCTTTCGTTTAATCTTAAACGAAGCAGGGCTAAAAAGAAATCAACGATCAAATCAAAGGCAAGAATTAGCAAACGACTTCTCCTCGACCACCCTCTAAAGGCAATCACCTCTAAAAGTGACGAGCCTCGATTCTCTTCAAGTTAACTCGCCTTCATTATTCGAGTCAATTAAATCAACATACTTGACCTCGTTCTCGTTCGAGCCGATCCTAACTTTCTTCGCTCGAATCAGAAATGAGAAAATTACATCTCAACGAACGAAGCTACCCGCTAAACTGTTCCTTAAGAGGCAGCTCGGCTTAATTCCATTCCTCTTTGACCGCATCCTACACACGAATTACACCGGGGGGCAGCCACGAATCAGCCGAACGGTTCATGGCCGGATATCGAGCGATTTTCGTGGAGCGAAACGCGTGTCCCGGTTGATGCGGCCGCACAGATACCAAACCGAAGACGTGCCTTTCATCTAATAATAGAGACAGTCCGCTCGCGAAGTCTGCGCGATTCGCTTCCCAGCCTCGCAGTCCTCGCACGAAAATTCGTCTCGAATCAAACCACCGTGGGTTCTCCATCCACGACGAACGACGATTACAAACGCGCAACGATTACACAGTAGTTTGTACAAACGAATAGCCTCGATCGAGATTATTATCCCTTCTACATTTTTTACGATTAGAGAAAAAGAGAGAGCATATACGATAAGGTAGAACGGAGTAAAAAAAAAACGGGAAAAACAAGTGTGACTCTTTTTTTCCCCTCGAAACGAATTCGAAAGAGTGTAACTTTTCTCTCTCTCTCTCTCTCTCTCTTAACGTAACGAAGAAGAAGAAGAAGAAGAAGAAGAAAACGAGTCTTTGATTGAGATCGAATAGAAAAACGTTGTTAGTTTATGCGTATTTGTTTATTTATATATTTTTTATTCTTTTTGACGAGAGATATAAATAACGAGGAGATAAAGAAGAAGAAGAAGAATTTCGACGATTTCTCGCGATTTGAAATTGATCGAAAGATTAGAAGGGAAAGCCGAGCCGAGAAGAAACGCTGTCATTTTTTTTCCGTCAGAGATATTCCGCCAGTGCTAGAAATAATCGTAGCATTTGCGTCGAGTATCATCTATCAAGGATTAATTCAACGTAATTAAATCGAACGGGAATCGAAAAAGAAAAAAAAAAAAAATAAAAACGATAAAAATGTTCTCCTGTTTGTGCGCCTCGATGAGAATGGAGGTAGGTAGACGTAACAAGTGATGTCTTCCCGGAAAAATTCATCGTGAAAATCAGATTTGAGATTTATTTTTTTTTATTTCTTTTTTCTTTTCTTGAATTAAAATTACAAGAATCGACGATTTATTATTGGTTTAGCTTCACTTGCACTGGTATTAAGATTCAGACCTTTAATCTTTTTTTTTTTAAACACCGGAAGTTGAGTATTTAAACCTCTCCCTCACCGATATCGATACTCGGAAAAGCTTCGAGTAATCATCGATTTCGCTCGAAAACTGTTAAATTGAACAAAATCTTTCGCTGCTAAAAATTTCATTTCTTACGAAATATCCAATTACCGTTTTGCCGCTTAAAGCTTAGCTAATGCTATTCTCACGTAAACGTTAAACGCATCCCCTTCCTTCATCTCCAATTTTTCTCTTCCTGTCGTAACACAATCATCTTCATCCATAGAAACACATGCTATCGCAATTTTCAATTTCACGATTCTTCGAAATACAACAGATATAAATACATTGTAAAACTGTATATCTATATAAAGTTGCCAATCACCAACAAGTGAGAACAAAGTAAAGTTAGAATTATTATTTTCTCTTTTAGGAGCCAGATATCGTTACCCTTGTCTCGCCGCGCAGTTGGTCAAGGAAACCGAAAATCTAGATACCCTTTATAATCACGAATATCACGAATTAAGCGAAATTGAAAAAAAAAAAAATAATAATAATAATAATACATCTCTACACGATGTTAAATTAGCGTGTGTAAAATGTTGTTCCACCTTTCCCGTCCATGGGGTTCCGATAATGGGGTCCGTCCACGAAATCCACGAAATATTCTTTTTCTCAAATGCTATAATTCGCACGATTTCGATTCGCAAATTGATCGCACGCAAACTTTTGTACCATACACCATATCTGTAATCGCAGTTGTTCTTGCAAATAAAGCTTATCGATCGTTCCAACCGATTTTGTTTCCGAGTTTTATTGACGAGAACTATAATTTATATGTGCAGCAACGATTCGATGAAATGGAAGCCAAAATAAACGACCTACGAGACCAAATAGAGGCCATCAAGGCTGAGAAGAGTCGTTTGGAGAAGGAGAATGAAGTCGAATCGGAGGTAATTTCCTATTAATTGTCGCTTTTCCTTTGTGAAAATTGTGCTTCGAAATTGCTATTGTATCCTCGTTACCAACCTCGTTAAGAGATTGGGTGCTCGTCCAAAGAGAAGAGATTCTAAACAGAAGGATTCGTTCACAGCATTTTGTTTAATTAACAGAAGAAAAATTGGATAGATATTCCAATGTAGGATAGATCTCGATTGTTCTAAATAAAATATCACGAGAGGAAGAAAATTATCTATTTTGAGAACACGTATCTATTCTTTAACGGAGTTAGCATTGCTGCATTGATTTCTTACGAATTCGCACAGTATTTTGAGATGTATAAATTAAATATATATCTATTCGAATCTATATGAATGAAATCATTATATAGATAAATGCGATAAATAATACCGTAAAATCGAGATCAATTTTTAACGCGTATAAAATGTAACGTACTCGAGACTTTGCTCCTTCGAAAGTAAGTGTAAAATAATCCTTTTTTCTTAGGTTGAATCATATCGTTCAACCATATATCCGATGAAATCGTTCCCGATATCGGATGGAAAAAATTTTCTTTCTCGATCGCGTAGAATAACGCGAGTGGAATAATCGGATTCCGGACCGACGCGCGGTATATAACCAGTTTTCCTAACCAATTAAAATTTCGAAATTAAAATTTACCTCGTAGGAGCTGAAAGGACAACTTCAGGACAGAGAGAGGAAGATAGAGATGCTAGAGACGGAGAAGCGGACGATAAAGGAGCAACTGGAGGACAAAGTGAACGAGGTGGAGAAATTGAAGAGGGAATTGGCGAGAAACGATGCGGAGGATTCGACGAAACGAGAGGATTTTCTCCGGGAGCTTAAGTCGCGGGAGGTGGAGATCGAGGAGAAGAACGAAAAGATCGAGCAACTGTCGAAGGAGTTGCAAGTGAAGACGCAGAATCTGCAGAAGCTGGTGAACACGGAGCTGTGGAGCAAGAACAAGGAGATCGCCAAGCTTCACAACCACATGACCGCCTCTCACTGTCACGAAAGGGGCCGAAACAAGTCGGACGTGACGCAAGAAAGCGCCACGGTGCAGCTCTCCACCCTGATCAAGGAGCTGAACGACATTGGTATTAAGGTAACGTTTACCAATGAGGTGGTCCAACTGAACTACGTCGATGGGAACGAGTCCATAGACGTAAAAACTATGACGGACTATGTACAGAAGCTGGTAGCCCAGAAAAATGAGCTCGAGAAGGAAGTGGATTACCTGAAATGGTTGAAACTAGTTTCGAAACCAGATTTCGCGGCGGAGATCGATGGATACACCGATAATAAAACGGAAAGGGTCAAGAAGTATTGCGAACTGATGCGCACGCATCTTAAAGACTTGGTCAAGTTCATGAAGGAGATGCTGAAGAACGGGGATTACGCGGACACGATCGGTAACGAACGGAGGAAGATCGTGTTCGACGTTTTAATGAACTCCAAGATACTGTCCGACGATTTTGTGAACGCCCTCGAGGGGATTTCGAGCAACGATATCATCACCACCTTCAACCCGGACGATGCGAATCCGAGGCTGATGGAAAATCCGGTGAAAAAGAGTCGATCCGAGAATTTGATCAGCGCCAAGACTCAAACCTCGACGCAGTCCGACTCGGAAGCGTTCTCGGAACCGGACAGAACCGTGTCGATGGCCAGGATCGGGTTGCAGGAGACTCAACAAAAATCTTTGAACAGATCTAGATTCTCCAAATATACCAAGACTTTCACCGACTCCGAAGACTCGTTGGAATACGTGCCTTATTATAAATCTTATCAGAACGATTTGAACGATTCCGAGGCTAATCATCAGATACAAGAGCTTAAAGAAACGAACGCTTTGTTGTACACGGAGCTGAGCGCGCTCAGGAGCGAGTTGAATACCAAGATTTCGTTCGATTGTGTAAGTATGGGGATTAATTGGTTGGAATTTTTCGACGAGCTTCTTTAGATTTAGGTTTCTCATAAATTTATATATATATATATTTATATTTATATAGTTGTTCGACGAGAAAATATCGCCGTTGATAATAAAGTTGGAAAAATCGCAAAAGTATTGCGAGAAATTGCAATCGGCATTGGAGAGAAGAATACACGAAGTGCACGCGCTGAAAAAGGAGAATAAACAGAACAGCACCCGTAAAGCGCAATTGGAAAAGAAACTGGTCGACTTGGAGAATATGGCAACAGAAATGAACAAACAGAAGGCCGAGTTGATGCATTACAAAGAGAATTCCGAAAGAAAGTCAACGGAGATGTTAATAACTCTTAACAGAGAGAATGATACGGTTGGAATTTTATATTTATATCTTGATTTTAATTGATTAATTAATTTCTCGAATTAATTTCATCATTTTTCATTCACTTTTTGAATAATTTGTAGCTGAGATCGCGAATCAAAAAGTTGGAAGATGAAAACGAGTCCGCAAAGGCAAGCGTATCGACGTTAACCAAGGAATTGGACCATCTGACCCTTTCGCATAGTCAAATCCTCGTGGAGAACACAAAATTAACGAACGATAAATTACGTTTGGAACAAGAGATAAGAAAAACGGAAAACAGATGTGATATGACCGTTCGTTCCATGCATGATAAATTCAACAAAGAAGTGAGCGGAACACTCGGAGATTTATGCGCCGTATAATTTAATTGTAATTTATAATAGGATTTTACAACACTCGCGTCTTTTTACAGATATCGGATCTGAATCAAATCAACGAGTCGCAAAGGACAAGATTACAAGAACTGGAAGTCACTAACAAAGAATTGAGAAGGCACGTTGCAGTTTGCGAAGGGAGCGACTCGGCTCCGAGTTCTAGCGGCGTTTCTTCGATACCTACAGAGTCTATGTTGAAACAAACTTGTGAAGATATCATGCAGGATTATCAAGCGTACAACGTTAGTTAAATCATTCCATACTTCTTCTCGATAATTCATTTCAATAATGTATTTATGATAAAGTTTAATTTTTTTTTTTTTATTTCAGAATTCGCAATACTGGTTATCCATAAATTATTCAACGATCGGTGGTCGAAGTAAATCAAGCTGTTCGCCAGATTTGGGGATCGAAAGTGATGCGGCAATCACAACTACGAGACCGTTGAAAGATACTTTGAAAATCACCGAATCCATGACTAATCTTTTAAGCGACGAAGATAACAGCAATGGTAACAGGCCAGCTCGAGAAGTGGATAGCGAAAGTCCTTTGCCGATAGAAGGTAACGCGATCAAATCATTATTAAAAATATCGATTGATTTTATAAAATTTAATTTCTATTTCTATTTCTATTTTTTTTTTTTTTGTTATAATTCATTTTAAAATTAAAATTACCGCAAACTTATTCCATTATACTGTATTATAAAATTTCGAGTAAATATATCAATATTTCTATTACATGTTTTTATAAATAAAAATCTATGTTATCAGGTCTCGATGAAGTAGAAGCTTTGAAGCAAGAAAATGAAGCGTTGAAAAGAAGATTAATGAAAACGAGGAGGACATTGGAGGATACTTTCCAACATCTTTCCGCGTCGAATAAAAATAAGAAAAATGTCGAGAAGGCGATTACGAAACAGTTGCAAATTACTAAAAATATATTAAAGAAAACGAGGACGTACGAAGAACCTCTGGATAATTAAAAAAAAAAAAAAAAGAAAATCCGAAAAAATGTCTTGTACAGAGAGAAAACTATACGTAGAATCGCTGTTCGTAATTGATTTTTAACGTTAATGATTTTTATCGTTCATTTTTTATAATCACGTTTTTATCATATTTTTGTCTTTCACGTGTTTTTCGATTCATTTTAAATCTCGAACAATCGTCAACGTACGAATAGTATTTTTACAAATTAACGAACGACAGCGACACTTGTTGTATTTTATAAAAAAAACTGTTAAAAAGTATTTTCGTACATACGTGAAATTTTACACGATAAAAAAAAAAGGATTAAGAACTAATAATGTAAAGATGGAAGAAAAAGGAAAACTTCGTGAAAAAACGAAGCTGTATATGTGTCTTGTACATAATTGTGTACGTGTGTTCAAGTTCTTTTGTAGATTGTTTCTTCTCTCTAAAGGTTGTTAAAACCTTGTTATCGAATCGAAAAGTGTCCATTTTATCGTATTCTCGACGTTAAAAAATTCGCGCGCGTGTACATATTAAACACCAAGAATATCATTACATCTATCAGCATCTGTACATAGTCTTCGCAAATAAAGTGCCATTGATATTTAGAAAAAAAAAAATAAAAATAAACGTCAGATTTAAAAAATTTATTTCCTTCCCAACTTTCAATTCCTAATTTATTTTATTTAATTAATTCACTTTGTATTCAATGCTGTATTTCTTGATTCAATAAAAAACTTGTATTAAAATAGGATATTTTAATAAGTAAAAAAAGAAAAAAAAAAAAAGAAAAAAAATGTGAAAAAATACATAAATTGAATATTTTTGAAATAAATATAACCTTAAAAATAAATAAATGAAATATGTGAAAACTTAATATGATGTACGGATAAAAATGAAAAATTCGAACAAAATACAGCACAATGTAGATTACGATAGAATTTTTATTATCACTCGATGACTAGATAATAATATAAAGATCCGTAGTAACTCGTGTCGATGAAGTTATGAACTGCGCTAGTCACGCGAATCTTTTTCTCATCTTTGCGAAACCCGGTGAGAAGGAGCGTGTATTTTTTCGATTTTCGTAACTGTACAACATTCAGTTCTCTTACCCGCCGAAATATATATATA